CCCCCCTGCGGGGGTTTTCGGGGGCAGCGCCCCCGGAACAAAATTTTATTGTAAGAGTAATTTTGAAATTCTGCTTGTTTTTAAAGTTCGTAAATTGTTTGTATGGAAAGATACCGAGCGGTATCGAGCATGTACCTAACGGTACTGAGCATGTACAGGTTGGTACAGAGCATATACTGCTCGGTATCGAGCGATACTGGCTCGGTACCGAGCATGTACCTAGTGGTACCGAGCATGTGATGCTCAGTACCGAGCATGTGATGCTCAGTACCGAGCATATACTTGCTCGGTACCTAGCGTTACCTAGCAGTAGCGAGCATGTATTGAGCAGACGAATGAAAGAAAGCCGAATCAGGAGTTATTCAAGCTTTCATTACTGCATGTCAAAGTCAAGGCCCACAACACCGCTCACCTGCTCTTCCGACCTAATCGAGGCCTGAACATTTCCTGCACTCACAACTTCTGTTTCGTTTCCTGCTTTCGAAACCGTTATTGCTTTCGGCTTCGTTTCCTGTGTCGTCTCCTTCCGACTTTGTCTCCTGCACTCACGGCTTCGTCTCCTTCCCTCACGGCTTCGTCTCTTTCCCTCACGGCTTCGCCTCCAGTTCACCTTTCAATTCTCACAGGAAGCCCTAATCCTATACGCGAACACGAATCGGCTGTATCGTATTTACATATATACCAAAGAAAAAATTTTGAAGCAGTGCCTCGTACTGCCTCGAGGTGTTACGCTCTAATGCGTACACCTAGTGCGAAAAAATCGTAGGCTTCACTGGATGGTTCGAGGCGTAAGCCCCGATACGCATGACTTCCGCCTCGACTTGAAGCGCGACTGAATGCGAACGCCTCGTCCGTTTTTTTAATGGTTGCTTAAGACTGGTTGTATTTTTAGCCCATCCAATTTTTTATGCCCTAGCTACCCTATGAAGTCATTGAGCATCAACTAGAAGACACATTATATGATTGTGTCTTTAAGGAAGTGATATTGAGTTATTCCTTATTTTTTTGTGGCAAATCCCAAATTACCTAATATGATTTGTCAATCGGGTGTCTTATTTGGATTATAGACTCATCGTATTGCAAACTCATAAAATTATTTATATTTCAATTTGAGGAACTCCTTTCCTTAAATCAGATGTGAATCGTCTAAGCCTTTTAGAGTCCATTACTTTATTATCAATTTTGAGGCATTATGGGTTATCAAGCAAATGAACATGATGAAATTTCTAGTAGACGGAGAGAGTTACAATCTTTAGGATATTTGAAATTAGCAATGATCTCTATCTTGTCTTGATTAAAAAATTCAGTTAAAATTTAATTCATAATTCAAATTTCAAAAGAACTACGATAAGATTGATTGAAATTTTTTTTATACTCCCTTGGATAATTCTTGAAGAATTTTTTTAATTGATTTTTATGTGCATGCCTTAGAAGTGTTTTGAATTCTTTCTAAAAAGGAGAATTTGATGCAAATATAGAGAATTTTTTATCAATCTATTTTATAAAGAAATGAATTTTTAGTAGATTTTTTTAATTTGCTTCTAATTTGCCATTGCAGGCTGCAAACTCACAATCCTTTGAAATTTAGTGTACTTTTAATATTTTTCTTTGAAATTTATAGCTTGATTGTGTTGACTGGTGGTATTGATGTAGGCCTTTTAGTGTAAGAATTAAGCCCTTATCTTAGATCCACATTAGTAATATAATAAGTTTTCATATTGTACTGCATTCAGAGTATACAACTACAACAATATCAAACCTTTTATCCCACTACGTGGGGTCGGCTACATGAATCATTTTTCTCCATTTTGTCCTGTTAAGAGTTAAATCCTCATTTAAATCTAATAAAGGAAGGTCATTTCTAATATTTTCTAACCAAGTATTTTTATGTCTATCTCTACATTTCTTAGCATATGCCAAATCTAATACATCTACTCTCCTAACATGATCATCGGAAGGTTGATATTTTTTGTGCCCAAATCATCTAAGGAGACTCTCTAATCTTATTTGTCACTGGAGCTACTCCAACTTTTAGACCTTAGATGTCACACCCCAGTTTGACTCACCCTCTACCACGAACTGGAGTATAACAGAGAAAGATTTCAACGTATCAAACTCCATACTTAACAACAGGAAGCATGTAATATATCTTATTGAACCTCAACATAATTAAAACAAATGCAGAGCTCTACTAAAACTTTTAAAATTCATTCACATACCCAAAAGTCTTTACATCTAGCATTCAGATCTCTCTTTAGATCTCTTGCACCCCAAAACGTTCTTACATCAAAAGAACGGTCACCTCTTTTTATTGTCCCAAGGGCTCATTCCCCTTTCCTGCAGTACAACCACTGCTAATGAGCTTGGCTCAATGAAATACGCAAGTAAGATATAAGAAATAATAATGAACCATTAAGAAATACCAAACTATGCTAATATAATTAAAATACATATTGAAATGTCATATTGAGCCTGAAAGTGCCTAGCAGTATTATTTATCTTACCAAAACTATTCCACATCTTTAAATAAGTTATAGAATGACTATAAGCTTTTGCACCATTCAACTTTCCAATTAAAGGTTAGGTCTAATTTCCCAACTTTTAGAATGGAAGTTGTTCTCTCATTCAGGGTTGAGTCAAATTTCTCAACTTCTAGAATTAAGAGTGTAGGCTTACCTCATCAGGTCTTTCGCCTTTACTTGTGCGGGCCTATCCCCCATATATAACTTATTTCACTTTTCATATAGTCATCCTTTTTAGAGCTACTGACATATGCTTTTGATGATATAGTTGCGCTTTAGCTGCTCTTCAGTTACCCTTTAGCTTCCCTTTAGGTGCCCTTTAACTGCCCTTTAGTTGCCTTTTAGGTGCGCTTTAGGTGCCCTTTAGGTGCCCTTTAGGTGCGCTTTAGGTGCCCTTTGCTTGCACTTTAGTTGCGCTTTACTTGCGCTTTATGAATATTTACCCTTTTATGCCTACTAAATCATTTACATTGCTAAAGATTATCCTTTACATAAACAAATTCATACATAAACAACCATATTCATTCAAATAACAAAAATAAACTAGAATACATGTGATCATAAATATAATGAAGATGGAGTGCGATAATAAAACATTTATTAATTCTTATTACCTTGTTTGGGTATCTCACCTCGGTATCCCGATTCTTTCTTCTTTTCCTTTTGTAAACAACATTCACTAAACTTCCTCATTCAACACAACACATTTACTTCTCTTTTTGTAAAACATTTAGCAAACAAATTTCAACAACCCCTTTATTTCAGCAAATTGCAGCTGTAACTATTACTTACTTTCAGCAAACAACAATACCCTTACATGCATTTAGCTTTTCCTCCATTATCCTTACTGATTTCCACATTCATCATTCAAAAAGAGTGACAGAAATCCACAATTTATGCATTCTTGAACTACAGCTTCTCCAACACTAATCGTAGATTCAGCACTTGGTTTCTCCAACTTCCAGCAGCCGAATCCTCTACTATTACTCAGCTTGCTTGCCCGCTGCTTCAATTCCAGGTGATGGGCAAATGAAAGTAATGAAGGGGACTTATAGGTCTACTAGGGCTTTACCTTAATATATAATATTATTATAAGATAGTGCATTCTCCACTACAATTCCACTAACATTCTAGCCGTCTGATCTCCATCCAGCCCATGCATGTCAAGATTAGTGGAGACTACAGTAACAATTAATAAATTGTTATCAATTAATTGTTATTTATTAACTATAATACTAAATAGTTATTTAAAAGATACCTATTCATAGACATTTAAGATATATTGATACCAAAATTATTCGAAATTCAATATCAAATTTGATGAAAATATTTTTGATACTTTCTATATGTGAGAGAAATAGGGGAAATTTGTATGTTTACCTTTTTGGACCAAAATTTTGGGTATTATATTAGAGCTGAAAGTTGTTGTTTGAGTAGATTTAAAACTAAATACATGTTGTGTAATTTTAGCGGTAATTGATCTAGTGGTTAGATTTTAGCATTAGGTGATCAAGTTATTTAAAAGAGTGCACATTTTAGATTTCTCAGGTCTATTGTTCAAAGCGATGCCTAAATAGAAGGGTATATTATTAGTACAGTTCAAGTTGGATGGTTGAAGTGGAGGAATGCATCACGACGGTTGTGTGATAGAAAAGTACCCACAAACTTAAGGGAAAATTTTATAAGATGGTGAGACTTGTATTGTTTTATAGAACATAATGTTAGCCATTAAAAGAGAAGCATAAAATTAAGTTTAGTATTACATAAATGAGAATGCTCAAGTGCATGAGTGGCTTTACACTTAGAGAGAAAATGCAAAATGAGTATATATGTGAAAAGGTTGGAGTAGCTCCAATGACAGATAAAATTAGAGAATCGCTTTAGATGATTTGGTTACATAAAATATTTGCATTTTGATGACCCTCCGAAGAAAGATGTATTGGATCGGCTTATATTAAAAAAGGTAGATGTAGGCCTAAAAAGATTGGGTTAGAAAGTATTAAAAATGTTATTTTTTTATTAGATTTAAATGAGAATTTGACTCTTAATAGGACATAATATAGAAAAAGATAGCCAACTCCACCTAGTGAAATAAAGACTCGTTAGTATGTTGTTCTTACATTTGGGAGGATGATTCCCTTCTCAAGATCGTTTGTTTTCTTATGTTTTGCTGTCTGTAGAATAAAGCAGTCATTTGTTGATTAACAAGAATACCGTAAGTTGGCTTGTTCTGTTACTACGTTGTAGTGCTGCCTTCTCTTTGTCATTGTTTTGCTTGCAGGGACCAACACTTTAAAGTCCAATTGTTATGTTTGTTATTCTTTCCTAAATCTTCCATCATATGCTAGAATGCAACCTGTGAATTTTCCTCCCAGTGGTTAAAGCCTGAAAAATCATTTGTTCAGCTTCTGTCATTTTCATCTTTTTTTTCATATTATTCTCATTTTACACGAGCAATTGATGTTTCAATGTTCTCAGGTTTTTTTAACTAGCCAATGGGTGAATCGTTTACTATTCAAATTAGTACAGACCTTATCCGTCAACTCACTAGCAATAACACGAAACCAAAAAGGTCCAAAAAAACCAAACCAAAGGCTTCACAGGACCAACTACCGCAGCCACAGGGCAAGACAAAGCCAACTTCAGATGCTGAGAAAAGCAGCTCTCCTGGAAAATGGCCTCAGCAGACCCCTATATTCCTTCCATTTCCAATGAGCTCTCCCTTACCCTCCTCACCTACCATTGCAGAGTTGGAGGCTATCAAGTCTGCCCTCCAAGAGAGTGAAAAGGTTGTGGAGAAGCTAGAGAAACAAGAAACTAACATGGTTCAAGAGCTAACTCAGAGGGCAAAGGAACTACGTGAAAAGGAGTTTAAGCTACCTTACCAGAAACCTATGCCCTGCTTGAATGAGAGAGACGATTGCCTGCAATGTTATAAGGAACATCTCCAGGATCCTTTGAAGTGCGCATCTGCAGTTAAAAAGTTTGCTGATTGTGCTCGCCAGGCTCGGCAGCAAGCTGGCTAACCAAGCCTTAAGGGGCCTCAAATAGATCTCAATGGGAGTTGTAAGAAATGTTACAAATTGTATTCAGAAGCAATCAAATATGATTTGTAATAAGGTTCTTATTATGTTATTTTAGTGAAAGAAAACAAAAAGGATTAAAATGATATCCAGACTATTTGTGAAAGACCAAAATTGTTCTAGATTATGTAAAAATCTTGATTTAGTCCCTAGACTCTTTTCATAAGAATCAGAATAGTCTCATTGATCAAATTGGTGCTTTATTTAATGGAGAACTAATGGAGTATGTGTAAGCTTCCCTTGAGCAAGCGGCTGAGTGGGGCTATAGCACAAGGTTGGAGAAGGAATGAGCAATGATGCCACCTTCTTAGGAGTAGCATGCATCAGAATATCCTCCAAATTCTCACCTTGATAAAGCTTCCTCAACTAAAAGAGATGAAGAAGAGCAGGCGAAGAATTTGCCTAGCATTGAGGAAGAGTGAAGATTAACCCCTCGGAGTGTAGGTGATAAAAGAGTCAAGTCAACATGAGTCACATCAAACTTGAGTCTGCTCGTTAAATAAAATAAGCTTGAACTCGAGTTCGACTCATCAAGATATTTAAAAACTTGAGCTCGACTCGATAGCTCGATGGGGAAAGCTTTGGTAGCTTGTGGAAAAGTTATTGTCGCGGCTAATGGTAGCTTGACTCTGGAGAAGGCCCTTGTAGCTTATTGGAGAAGGCTTTGGTAACCTGCCGGATAAGATATTACGAAGGCAGCTCAGGGAGAAGGCTTAGATAGCTCACCAGAGGTGGAGTGGAGTTTGAAATATGTTGAAAGGGTATGTATTAGTTTTTTTTATCATTCATTTTAATGATAGATGGTTATAAGTGCTTCAAATGATGTAATAATGCAGAAGCTTTACGTTTTTCTTCCAAAAAAAAAACCTTTTAAATTAATTTTCTTAGAAAACTATAATATTTTATCAAAAGAAATTTGAGGATGGATATTTTTTATTACATTTAATATAAAAAATATGGATACGAGCTTGCTCGCAAGCCAATGAGCTGGGCTCGATCTAGCTCGAACCCAAGCTCATCAAACGAGTTGTAATCTGCACTCAAACTCGAGCTCATGACTCACAAAGTTTAACTCACCAGCTCGTTAATGAGTCGAGCTTGAGCCTGCTTGTGAAACAACTTGCCTCAATTACACTCCTATAGAAACATGATAAATAGGAGTGGACAATTTCTTGAGGAACGATGAATGTTAATCTACATTATATATTATATATATTGACAACATTTTGAAAGTTATATTTATTAAAAATTTAAAATGAAAAATATATTTAAAAACTTTCATTTTTAATATCATTAACTCTAATTTTCATTAGTTTTGCTGGTAGCAATTTTTTTGTCCTTTTCAAAGGCCTGGGAATTAAATTAGAATTTTTACATAATTTGGGTTCCTCATCATTTTGATTCTTTTCTCTTCAGAGAAATCATGATATATTACATGAAATCTCCAAATCATAAGATATTATATAGGATTTTTCATTCGAAATATATAATGCATGATAACACATGTTTTATTTTTTTTCAAAATAGAAATCATAAGGTTTTCAATATTTTGTTGAGAAGGAAAAATTGTTAAAGGGAAATTTGATTTTATGTCTTACAACATTAAAAATTGGAAAAAATGTGCTCACTGTTTTATGTTTAGGAAAATATATCTAAAAGTTTTATTCATATCAAAATCAAATTACCCTTGCTCGGATTACATATTATTTTCTTAAACCGTCATGACTAAAATTGATTTGAATATAATTCGATTAAGATTAAGATCATATAATAGATATTATGGTCATGATCAGTTATTGTTCAAACACAAATCAAATATTAATTGCCCTTGCCCAAAAAAAAATTCATCAAGATTTGAACATGATCCGAATAAGAAATTGTTAGATAAACTTATAAAATAATTGATTTACATGTTTGAATAATGTTAGTTCAATGTTAGAATTAGGTTTGGGTTATATAAACAGTATTGTGTAATAATTGAAGCAATTACAATAGCTATAACGCAATTGATTATAAGATTTGAATCTGACAGAATTAACAGAGTCATCACGATAGACATAACATATAAAATTCGGTTGAACATGAGTCTAATAATGATTGACTAGAGTTAGAATAGGACATGGTTCGAATTAGGCTTGAATAAGATAAATATAACAAAAAGTGATCACAATGGACATGAAAGCAAATTTAGTTACAATAGAGTCAACTACTATTCATAACATGTTAAAATAAAAAGCATTACATTATTTCATAACAATTTTGTGACATTAGTTTAAGAATTACAATTGATATAAGAAAATAACTCGTATAGAAGTGGTTGGCAATTGACCCTACAAGTAGCTTAAGTATGACTTCAAACTTCACATCAATTGCACCTATATGAGAATGCATCCTTCTCTCTTTGAAGGCCTTCTATTTTTCATTGGACGGCCACTCTTAGACAAATGTCTTTATTTCATCCAGAATTCTCTCAAATGTCTTTTTTCTAATTTGATATGTATTTATATGTGGGTAACCTTATTCATGTGTATAGAAATTTGAATATATTATTTAATAATTAATAACCCGATCCCGAGTTGCTACCAATATATGTTCATACGAGAGACATCTAAAATTAAAATTTCGACCTATACTTGTCCTTGTCAATCAATATCACCATTATGATCATCATCAAAGGTATTCACTTAAAATTGATTAATGGGATATATGATCATCCTTTGAGCCATATTCGAGAGTTTTCTCAATGCTTCTTCAATTTTCTTTGCTAAAAGTCTTTTTTTTTCTTGCTATAATATGACTCCATAATTCTAACCATGTAACACTAGATAGGAATGTGTGATTTTGCTGATACTGTTAAAACTCTAAGAAATCCTAGTTGTCATCAAGTTATATAGGTTTCCAAGGAAGAAAGTACAAGCCCATTGCTCAAAGCTAACTTCATTCTCAAGATAAGATATTATGGATGAGTTCTTGACATGTATTTTATTAAAATACCTAAGCTATGATACTCCTCATGATAACAATTGGCATTGAGTTTTTCCATGGTATTCATTCCCATATAATGACCGCAAGCTCCACTGTATACCTCTAAGGAAATGATTGAAAATGCATTGGTGATATAGTTGTGTCTAGCGAAGATAAACACTAAGTTTTTCACTAGGCTTTTTTATTCCCTCAACATGGTCATGAAAAATAGCCATGACTTATTAGTTTTTTAGTCAACCATTATAGATATTATGAATATATCTAAGTATTGAAAACATTCACTATTACTACATGAAAAGTACCTTCATAATGCATTCAAGAATGTTCAACCCATACTTAATATTAGGAGTCATGTACTTTTGAATCTTTGAATATAAATAAAATGGCAAAAAAAATATTGAAACATCCATTAATATCTTGTTGGGGATCAATAATTGTCACCAAAATTTCTTTGTAGTATAACCATATACAATGATAACTACCAAAAAAATAATGCTTCAAGGGTTCATCTTATACATGTGATAGCTTGCTCATAACATTGATAAGCCTTTTTATGACATTCTCATTGACACTAATTAATATATGATGAGTATAAATAATGTTATATTTTATATGTTAAATTGCCAATGAAATCATTTTATTTTAGTTGTGTTTGTGAAGGAAAATGTAGTAAATGTGAAAAAATTCAAGTATGGTAAATTGCCACAACGTCTGACACTACACTGTCACGACGCCATCCTTGACACCGCAGGAACACCCATTATGAACATGGAGGCACCCATTCATTGTTTAGCAACATCACAAAATCTCTATATGCACATCTTTGTGAGCCAATTTTCAACGCCACCAAGCCAAGTGGAGTGCCACGGGGACGCCACAACGCTTAGCTGCCAGCAGCATTGCAACACTACATTTGTAACCTTTTAGGACACATTCTACTAGTGACATGTCTATTTACTAAGCAGTAGGTCTACGTCAGCAAGCATCATAGTTGAGGAAATTTTTTAGCATTGGAGAGTTAGTTCATTTTATGGGCACCACACCGCAAGTGTCTCGAGCGCCATGGCGCCAGAATCCATTTTTTGTATTTATCTATAAATAATCCATTTGTAATGTTAGTAAGACAGTTTAGTCACTTAGTTCATTTTATTCTTCATAGTGCTTCTCTGTAATTTTATTAGGAGTGACAATTAAGAGAATTTAGGGAGCACTAGATCTACTTCAAAAGAGTGTTTGATCAATATTTGTGGAAGCAATTCTATAAGTTTAAGAATGAGTGTATAGTAGAATATCATTGAACTCATCTGGTGATATTTATTCTATACTTTCTTTCTTTTGTGTAATTAATGAAAATGAATTTGCTTCACTTATTCTTCATGTCTGGCTAAATTCTTTTATTTTGGATTGATGGTGTAAATGGAATGTGGAATACTAATGCATTATATTCATCAATAATTTAATGATTTTTTTAATATACAGGTCTTTATTTAATGCACATAGTGGTCATATGTGTAGTTAATATCAGGTATAATGTGGAGCCTAGGAATAGGAAAGATGGCACAACTAGGTATATTGGATTGGTATGATGCAAGCATAAGCATAGTACTTGACATATACCAAATTTATAGAGATGAGTTATAATGAGGGGGTTTTAATAGTACATGCTTATTTACTCTTTTAAAATTTTCATATGGTGATAGACTATGGGAGTTTAGAGTGATATTGAGGTTGTAAGGGTTTAGTGTATCCTTTGTCTCTTCACGCTTGACTAAGCAGTCAGTGATGCATATGCTCTGAATAGAACTAGCATAAAAAAAATATTATGAAACATATTGTATAGATTTTATTAATCCAAGATATTTTATCCAAATAGTGTTTCATTTAAAAATTTTATTAATTTTAAATAAAGTGATTGAATCTCCACCAAAGCTTATTTATTGAGTAGGATAATTATTATAATTGTAGTTGACTATACTAGTATCTTTAAGTAAATATTCTTTCTCATGGTATTGATACTCTACTCTATCACTATATTACTTGATTCAACATATATACTTGTGTATATTATGTGGGATTTTTATATCAAAGAAAACCTAAGCATTATTTAGGGATTAATAGAGCCCTAAATCATTTTCATAATTTTGTAGGTTACTCCATTGCCCCCATCAAATTTTTGGCACCATTGCTAGAGGATTTTGTTTTATTTGAAGTTTTAATATATTATTGAATCAATTGCATAGTTAGTCCTACTATATTCTTTTATTATTTTATTTTATTCTATTGATTATATAATTGCGTTTGCATGCTTGGAAACCATAAAAGGAAGCCATTGCTAGATTTTGATTAAAAAATTGAGAAAATTCTTTCTAAAATTAGAATGACAAAAAAGATTTTGAAAAAGACTGGCTCTATTTAAGACTTAGATCATTCTAGACCACTTAAGGATTTTACAAATCCTATGGTAAACAACATTCATCAGAACATAAATAGACCTAATATCCAAGATAATAATTATGAATTAAAACCTACAATCATTCAAATGGTATATAATTATCAATTTGGGGGAACTCCCATCGAAGATCCTAACAAACATTTAACAAGTTTTTTAGAAATTTATACAATATTTAAGTATAATGGTCTTCATGATGATGCCATTAGACTTAGATTATTCTCATTTTCTCTAAGAAACAAGGAAAAAATGTGGTTAAATTCTTTACCCCCAAACTCTATTACCACTTGTAATGAGTTGGCTCTTAAATTTTTAGGAAAGTATATCCTACCTTTTTTTTTTTTTTTTTGAGAAACTGCAAAATGCATTAAAATAAAAGAAACCTATTACAAACTACTAAGTAATAGTAATTCTATCACTTTCCTCCTTTAACAAAGAGAAGAAAATTGGAGGAACCTTATTACAATTCAAATTCTCCCACAAGAAATCACCTTTCAAAGAAAAGTTACCACAAAAGTCAGCTAACTTATTATAATTTCTATTTGCAAAATGAAATAAGAAATACCCAAAATCTTTAAGAAAGGAAAAGTCTTTGAATCCATCTTTATTGGGTATAAGACCAACTTTTGCAACCGAGTCTTGAAGATATTTGATGATATTCAAATTATCTCCTTATATAATAATTCCTTTAGCATCCAACATCCAATCCTTGATTATCTTCTTCAACGAATGAAAAGCCAATAATTCCAAATAAGCACTATCCCAATGCAAACATTTACACCTTAAAGCCAACAAAAATCTCCCTCTATGGTCTCTGAAGACACCACCGACCCTAGCATCATTAGAACGAAGTAAAGTTGCATTAATGTTGACTTTAATCCACTCAGGCGGAGGGGGATGCCAATAAGATGAAGTCAGCTTTAAAAGCTAGTTAGCACCCTAGTGAACCGAAAATAGATTACATTTAGATGAAATTGATGCAAAGCTAATAGCATTAGAAACAATTTCTCCCAATACAAACTCATGTCCATCATGTATCAATTTATTTCTACTCTTCCATGAATAAAAGACTAAAGAATAATAAAGAATTGTAATGAAAAGATTCGTTTTAGATAACCTTCTCAGATTATCCAAACAATCCTGCAAAGATAAAAAATCTTGAATACAAATGCCCCATTGATTCACCAAGGCAATCACTTGAGTTAACTTACAGCATTTAACAGCAACATACTCTTTATCCTCTACCATCCCACATCCCCTAAGGCACATATTATTGTTCAGCAATTTCCTATATAGCAAAAAATTTATAGTGGGAATTGCGTTCTTCAACAGCCGCCACCAAAAGCCATCAATTCGAGGATTTAATTTTAACTCCTTCAACCATTTCCATCTCTGGATTAGAACAGAGTAATCTATAGCTACTCGGTATGCCAAAGCAGCAATTGAATTCCCATAGAAGTTATTAATTAGTTCCAGCTTGTCCTCCAAAAGTTTAGAATGTATCATGGTACTAATAATTACTTTAACCAATGTTTTAACAAAGAACTTCTCTAACTCTCCCAGATTCTAAGCTCCATTGGTAATAAAATTCCCCAATAGAGGAAAATCAGTCTCCTCTATATATAGTGATGAAAGTAGGCCACCTATCCAAACTTTGTCTAAAATCCAAATATCATTAAGAATGTTCATAGAAGAACTAGGTCCAATCTTCCATCTTACACATGGTTTAAAAGCATTTTCTCCACTTCACAATAACTTCCAAGTAGAAGAAGCATTCGGCCTGTGCATATCACTCCAAACATTCATGCCATACTTCATAAATAGTGATTGATTAAGAATAGAATCAAGATATTTAAGATAAATCCAAGCATAATTTACTTTTAAAGGCCTCACCATAGAAACAACTGAGTGAATTCCTCTTCCTCCTGCATAAATAGGCTTACAGATTTCTTCCCAAGAAACAAAATGCAAACCGTAACCTCATATTTCTTGTTCCATATAAACTCCCTACACATCTTCTCAAAGTTCTTCAAAATGCTTAAATAAACGAGGGATAAGGATACATAAAACAAAGGAATGCTTAGAATAACCGATTTAACAAGCACCAATCTTCCAGGAAGTGAAATAAACTTGTTGCCCCAAACTTCCATTTTAGAAGCCGATCTCTCCAACAGTTTTAGAAAATCTGAGGCAATCAATCTCCTTAAAGTAATCTTGATACCCAAGTAATGCATTTCTTTTACTTCATTAAATCCCATGAATTTAGAAATCGCTCTTCTCTTATTATTTTCCACAGCTTTACCAAAAAAATGGAAGATTTGTGAACATTCACTTGTTGACCCATCCATCGATAGTAGTCTGAAATGTTTTTCCTGATTTTCCTCAATTGACAAATTTTTGCTTCCAAGAACATAAGAATATCATCAGCAAAAAGGAGATGATAAATTTTAGGGGCTGAAGAAACAACTTTTAAACCCAAATTTCTTCCCTTGGACAAAAAAACTATTTGTAAGAAGTTGTGAACACAAGATGAACAAATAAGTTGAGAGTGGACATCCTTGTCTAAAACTGCTTTTAGCCTCAATCCACTTAGAACCAGTCCCATTAACTGAAATTACTAAACGACAAGAGGGGGGTGAATTGTAGAAATCTTTTTCTTAATAAAAGTAACCCTAAACAAGAGTTCTAATTTTTTGTTGTTTTTGAAATTTTATAACAAAATTTTAAGCAATTTTTCGCTTTCACAAATTTCACATGCAATAGATATGAAAAATTAAAGCAAGTAAAACATAAATAACGATAGGAAAGAACACACCAAGATTTTATAGTGGTCCGGTCAAAATATGACCTACCGTCCACTCCCCGGAGTCCTCCACTCCGGGATTTTCACTATCAAAATAGTTCTCCTTTTGCCCCTGCGCAAGGCGGAGAAGCCTTTACAAACCTCCCTTTTACCAACCCGGAGTGGCGGAGTGCCAACCTCTGTTTTCGCCCTCCTGGCGATGGCAAAGAACCTTCTCGTTTCTCCCTCCTGGAGAAGGCAGAGAACCTCGAGGTAACGGATGTAGACGAGCCTTTCCCTTGGAGATCCTCCCTCAAATCCTTCTCGGCCACAGGAGGAGCAAGATGCAGCAAGCTTGGAACAACCGTGTGATCTCCTCACACTCTTATCCCTCACAACGCCTACTACCTCTCCTTCTCTCTCACACCCTCAAGAATTCTCTAGAGCTCTCTCCCTTGGAATCCCTCTCTAACCACGTTCACTCTCCTCTGTTAATCTTACTGAAAAGGACTGATTGATATCAAAAAAAGGCTCAAAAAACTCTGAATTCAAAAGTAGCCTTATTTGTCGTACAGTAGATTCACATCGTACATACAATCTTCATAAACAGACGTCGTCCTGGTACGAAGATGTACGAACAGTTCAAAAACAATTCGTAATGTACGATATAATATCGTACGGTATGATCCAACAAATGTTATTCTACAAGATGGTCTGGACATGTCGGATGTCGTCTCTGTCATTCGTATGGTACGCATTACTATCGTAACAGTACGATGTGACAAAAACCAAGAGATCGTCGGACGATATCTGGATGATCATACTTCGTCTCTGTCATCGTATGGTACGATCATGTTCGTACAGTACGATGTTCAAATTGTAATAAGGCTGGATTACATGCACTAATCACGGGTTAATTTAAGTAAGTATTTAAAAACAGATCGTCAGTACGAACATGTTCGTACAGTACGAACGGCGCAAAAATCACTTACTTAAACTAAACTACGGCTAGGTTTTGGATCAGAACATATCGTACAGTAGAAGGTAATTCGTACAGTACGATCATTCACAGAATTGTTCACATAGCCTGGATCGTACGGTACCGAATATTAAAATCGTACAGTTACGATCTCCAGAGAAGATTTTAATTACATTTACAGTTAAAAAACAACTCTCCCTGTGTGTGTGCATGATTGCTCTTACTCTTACGCATTTTGTGGCTAGACTCAATAAAGTAAAAAATAAAATAAATAGAAAAAATATATGTTTAACTCATACTCCTAATCTACCCGGTCTTGAGTCTTCCTTTCTTCTTGAGTCACTTGTGATCTTCCTGAAATGTTAGTGCTCAAGGAAAATAGCAAATAAAATAATATTCCATGAAAAGTTTTTCCAAAACACTCATTATTTGGCATCATCAAAATCTCAAGCTCGGGGTCATGGGTTGCAACATTAACTTGAATTGAAAATGCTGGATCAACCACACATTCCATTAATAGATTTGAAAAATTCTTTGGAAACCCAAAAATAATTCAAAAATTGTCTAAGGGTATCCCATGCCATATTATCATATGCTTGTTCCATGTCAGCCTTGATAACAACCAATCCCTTTTTTAGATTTAGAAAATCTAAATTTATGAAACATTTATTATGCAAGAAGAACATGATTTGATAAATTCCTTCCTCTAATAAAAGCCACTTGGACATCAAAAACAAATAATGAATCACCTTTGACAATCTATTTAAAAGAACTTTTGCAACAATCTTATAAATAGAAAGACGAAGACTAATAGGTCAAAAATCAACAGGAGTTAAACGAAAACTTATTTTAGTAATAAGAATCACCATAGTCTCCTTCCACTGAGAGCACATCTTTTAGTGTCCTTGAAAACTTTTTGTTCAAACTATCTATAGCATTCCCAGTAGCCCATTGACTCCATGATCTGCTCACCACTGAAGCTGCAGTCGGGTAGGATAACCAAACATCTTCAAATCTCCAATTTCTCCTACTACAATCAGTTTGCATAAAGATCTTCAACACAATAGGATAATGGTTTGAAGCAACCCTTGATGGATGCCTAATTGAAGCCTGACGAATTAATTCCAATGCCTCGGAATTCAATAAACATCTATCTAGTCTTGCATGAATATGAACAGTGCCATTCTTTTTATTGCACCAGGTATACTTAGGTTCAAGAATTACAATATCATATAAATCAGACTTATTCATAAAACCTTTCATCTCCAATGGGCCTTTTGAAAAGGAGAATTTCTTTCCTCCTTTTTTGTCATCTTGAGAAAGAATGCAGTTGAAATCTCCCCCAACCACATAAGGTATCTCAGACCTCGAATGTTGCTCCAAATAATCCCATAACCTTCTTCTACCATATAAGTCTCTGCTACTATAGACAGTAGAAACTACCCATAATCTTTTATTAAAAATCTTCAGCTCCCCAACAACACATTGAGCTAAAGCTTCCAACAAAGTAAAAGAAGCCAACGAAGACCTCCATAAAACCAAAATACCTCCTGACATCCCAATAGAAGGGAAAAGCAAGAAATCCCAACCCACTCCCATGAATTTATCAAAATAATCTCTAGAAATAGATGAAATTTTTGTTTCAACAATACCAACAAAGAGAATATCCCACTCCCTAACAAACTCCTTCAAATACAAGGAGGCTTCCTTCTTATTCACCCCCTACAATTCCAAAAGGCTAGTGTACTCATTTTGCCAAGAAGGGGGAAAGGCCCCCACTCCTTTTCTTTATCACATTCATCTTGCTTTGCTTAGAGGATGACTTCAAAGGCCCAAGAGACCTTAATTCTTTAGCCAGCTTCGGTTTATGTCCTCCAGCCACAACATTCCCTAAGCCAATAAATCGATCACCTTTGGAATCCAATAGATCCCCTTCACTGAAAATAGCCAAGCCATCCTTTTTAGCATGATAAGAATGATCAACCGAATCCACCAATTAACCTTCCTCTACCTCAGTTCTAGTAAACTGCTTAGTTTTGTTTAAAATAACATCTTCCATATATATAGAATTCAGATCTTCAAACTGATTTTCTTCAAATAATTTCAATTTAGGAGAAGGGCAATGATTAATACTAGGCAATAAAGGAACATCTTGAGCAGAATTCCCATCTACATAAATCAGTTCCTCTTGTATAGGTTTCCCAACAGCATTATTCAATTCATTCAAGATTTTTTTACTTAACAGATCATCCTCTTCATTGGAATGAAAATTTGCTTTCACATAACTTTATGTATTTTCACCCATGAAAGCCAAAACCTCATCTACAGGAGCATTTAAAACCACATCAGTAATAGGGCTGATATCCTTACTCAATCGATTAGCTTCATTTAGAGCCTTTTCCCCACTCAAAGGCACCACCATTTCTTCAGTTGTTGTAGTTTTTATCGGTTTACTCAGTAAAGCATTGTCAAACCGTGCTTTAAATACGCCTTCAAATTTTGAAACAAATTCTTTCTTCAGGTAACCAACTTTCTGTCTTTTATTTCTTCTGTTATTAACCAATAACCATGGCCCATAAGAAGAATCCTCCTTGATATCGATATCTCTACTTCTCTCAACATCTTTGCTTTGTTCAGGAGCCTTTCCCATATCCTTATTGACTTCCCCATTCATGAGTACATTGCAAGCATCAACCAAATGTCCAATCTTTCGACACTTGAAGCAAAAGGAAGAAATCTTTTCATACTCCACTTTTTGGAAAAATCTTCCATTCATTCCTTCCACCTAAACACCCAATGGAAGTTGTTTGTCAAGCTCGACTCGAACACAAACTCTAGCAAACTCCCTTCTTCCCTATTTAAACATGTCACCATTAATTAATAAAGGTTTACCAATCATAGAAGTTATTCTAGACACATTGATTTCATCCCAATAGTAGAGTGGGAGGTTAGGCAATCTAATCCATATCGGAGAAGAAAGTCCCTTAAGAGAATTCAGATTGAAACAAGGAATCCACCTATCAAGTCCAATAATATGACCATTCATAAACCAAGGACCACCAGACAAGACACTCTCTATTGATTCCACAGAAAAAAAGAACAGAGTAGCCAACTCGAGCCAAGAACAGTCAAGTGAAACTTTCTAAATTATCGCCATTGATGCCTCAACTCCTCCACTATCACTTGGATAGGAATAAATCTACCAAAAACTTTCAGAACCACAGAGAATTGGGGATTCATTAAATTGGTTTGAACATTCAGTTCAAACAGTTTAACCGCAGAACCATCATTAGAAAAGCAGGATTCAACGTTTAGTATATTAACCTTAATATAAGGATGCTTTAACCAAGGATTCCCAGAACATTGCTTATTCATCTCATCAACTCAAACTTGAGCTTCTTTTGAAAAAAACATTCTTAGCAGAAATATCACAAATACTTGATGGACGAGCCGCAATCCTTTGAACAACTAGATCACCTTTAGCAACTAAAATAGGTTTTGCATTAGCAAACCTATTAACGAATAGCTTCATGTCTGACGAAGATGATTCCATATAACTAATTCTATGAACACCAATAGGAGTATTCACATTGGTATCTTCCATGATCTTCTTTCCTTTACCAGCAATCGGAGGTGGCGAATGCATTTTATTATCAATTGGTTCTCTGATTACTAGAGGAGCATTTGTTCGAAAAGATTTCAGAGTAATCATAGGCTTCGGTGGAATGATGAAGACAGACGAATACTCTACCTTAGGCATAAAATTTCAGCCGTTATTGGCCGACAGCTGATCCTCTATATTTAGCAAAAAACTTGCCAACTCAAAGATGAAGAAATGAATTTGAAAAATAATTCAAAATCCCTGAGCTTCTCTCTCTAACTTCTCTCATATCCTTCTAAGATTACCAAACTTGGAAATGATATTACTTTTTTATTGAATTAGAAGGAGAATCAATTTATAAGAGTTTAGAGAGATTCAAGGAGATGTTTAAAAAGTACCCTCATTATGCCTTACTCGATTGATTGAAAATTCAAACTTTTTATAATTGATTGGTAGGTCCCTTGGAGTTATAATTGATGCTACAACTGCAGGTTCTTGTTGATATTATTACAACTTAGTTTTTTTTTATTGTTGAGATTATTGTAACATGTGTATTTTTTATGATTCTAAATATTATTATTTTAATTACATCTTCTCCTAACATATTTTTGATATATTTCTTTTGTTGTTTGTGTGTACTAACATTTCAGGTAAATCATACTCTAGATAATTGAAGACTTCAAATCAGATTAGATTATGGTTCATGGTAAATGGAGTTTGTATTTTTTATTTTATTGAGTCTGAGAGAGTGTGATTATAATTGAATAATTGTGCACACACACACACTAGGGGAGTGTTTAAAATTTGTAATTTTTTAAACTAATTGTATTATACAATTTCATTTCACACGGGATGATTTGTTTAATTATTCTCTCCTATGAGCAGTTAAATGAATTGAGAGAAGAAAATTTTTTCTAAGTTCTTATCATATTATATGGAGCCTTTTTCGTACAAACAACATCTAGAGTATAAAATAGATATGTCCCTATTCGTCTTGATAATTTTTGAATTTTTTTTAACTGATCATACTATACGATACATAGTTCATATAGATGACGTCCATAGTATGAAAGAATGGGTTCCTTTTCATCCCAATGAACATCAAAATTTTCTGAACTAATTATACTGTAGGATACATAGTTCGTACAGACGATGTCCAGAGTACAAACATGTGGGGCATCTTTTTGTTTCGATGAACCAGAAAAATTTTCTTAACCGTTCATACAGTACGAACATGGTTTGTACTGGACAATCATCGTGTATAAAAATATTTCATACAAGTTTGTATGAAGAAATTTTTAAATTGTTCGTACATAAAATTTACAATTGTATTGTACGATCGTATACACTCAAAATGGAAAATTTTAGTTTTATGTATAATTTTTCGTATCTTTTATATATATAGTCCTTAGAAATTGACTTAAAAAAAGTTCTTCTTGATTTCTTTGAGAGCAAGTGAAAGAGTATTTTGGGTGAGTGTTTGAGAGAAAGTTCTTGCAAGTGTAGTGTGAAGGGTTCACAATGTTACTTAAAGGTAAGAATCTCTTTTGTAATTTGGTTACTTCTCTTCCTTTCTTCTTTTCTAGTTTCTCGAGAGAAGATCTTTGATGAAGATTTGATACTCTGTCAACACTTGGAGGGTGTAAAAGGATAATGGTACTCTACTGACACTTGGAGGGTATGAAAGGATGATAGTTCTCTGCCGATACTTAGAGGATGTGAAAGGATGACAGTACTCTGTCACACCGAATTAGTGGAAGAGAGGAAAATTATAAAGGCTTCTCCACCTTGTTGTGGGAGAAAAAGGAGAGTCACTTTGATAATAGTGCAATACCTGAAGAGGGAGTCTTCAGGGAGTGGACGTATGTCTTGTTAAACTGAACCACTATAAATCTTTGTGGGTTTTTTTTTTTTTTTTGCATTTTTATTTTTTAGCATTTTACTTTCTATGATTGAAAAATTATTTTCTTATAAAATATTAAAATTGGTTTTTATTAATTTCCAAGAGAATTTTAAAATACCAGTTCACCCTCCCCCCCCCCACCATCTTGGTTAGGCTTAGGACATTTACATAGGTTTAACAACCTATATAGACTTTATAGTTCTTTGATGTTAAAACCTTTTGAGGATGCTTATGAAATAATTAAGAAAATGCAACAAATAATTTTCAATGTCATGTTGATAGGGTGAATCTTAAGATATTAGTAGGAGTCTATAAAAATGATCCTTTATCCATTTTCATTGCTTAAGTTGCTATTATTTTTAAGAAATTAGATGAATTAAATATTAATAATAATCTTTGGAGATATAGCGTCACTAAGCGAAGATGTATAGCACCGCAATGCTACCCCCATAGAATTTGAACAAAATATATCATGAAAGGAATAGGAAGGAATCTTTGGACAATATTGAAAGTTCATTAGGGATGTTAAGCCCTTATGAACTAGTCCCGAGGCTAACCAAGAGGGGGTGAATTGGTATTTAAAAAAAATCTTTCATTCAAATCACGAACTTAAACTAAAACATAATCCACCATAAAAAATAATGAGTGCAAAAATTAAATGCGTAAGTAAAAAAAAAAAATAATACTCCAGATTTATAGTAGTTCGGTCAAATCTTGACCTACGTCCACTCCTCGGAGGCACCCTCCAAGTATTGCACTAACTTAGTGTCTCTCCCTTAGTCCCCACAGCTAGGCAGAGAAGCCCTTACAAAAACTTCTTTCCACCAACCCCGGTTTGGTAGAGAATCGACTCCTTTTGCTTCCTCCTAAAACGGGCAGAGAACGCAACTCCTTTTGCTTCCTCCTGAAGCAGGTAGAGAACCTCGATCAATTGCTGAAGAAGACATCCCTTGAGCCTCCAAGAAAGAGGAATGATGATTGGAGAAGAAGCCTTGGAACCTTGCTTGGAATAACCCTTGTGAAACTCCTCATAAGCTCCCCCTCACAAGTTCCTCCCTCTCTCTCCCTCTCTCTCCCTCTCCTCTAGGCTCTCTCAGGTAAAGACAATAGCAAATGATCCTTTGAGCTTGAGAAAACAAAAGTCCTTTATATAGATTTTCAAGAACTGAATTTATCATCCAGGATGAGATTTCTATCATCTTGTACGATCAGTATAAATTAAGCTCAATCTGCCTTGACGACTTTGGTCGATTATAATATTTTTTGTTCATATCATCTAGGACGATAATATATCATCTTGTATGATTAGTACAAATCGAGGAATATCATCTTGAACATTGCCCTGGTTGTTAGTCTGGACGAAAATAAAATGACTTGATCGTCTAGGCCGATCTCACGATCATCCTAGCTGATTAGTTCAAATCTATACAAAATCATCATGATCATCGCTCTGAACAGATGATGTATGATTTTTGTTATCCAATAGAAATTAAGGTTTTTGAAATGATCATCCTGGCCGATCTTGATATCATCCAGGACGATATGATCGTATCAATCAGCCTTAATTACTTTCCTTAATCACCAGATCAATTTAGGCATAGTTGAACCCTATCATCCAGGCCAATGTCCTGGATGATAATTAAAAAATAAAACTTCCTAAATAGATCTGGTGGCTAATTATTTCTTATTTGAGCATATCATCCCGACTGATACAAAAATTGTCCAAGATAATTTGGTTAATGACGGATGCCTTAACTAGCATGCCCTAATTAGGGTTTTTATTTTTGATCGATTGTCTATGACAATTTTTTTATCATCCCGAATGATGTTAGCAAAATCAGAAAACTCTAAGTCAGATAGAAAAAATTCACTCAAGTGTGTGTTAGCAGGGTTACTTAGCAACTGGAATCACAAGCATTACAAATAGACTCAAGAAAAAAAAAAGATTTACAAACTGACTTAGACCTAGTCTACCCAATCTTTAGCTTGTTCAAATTGCAGTCTTGATCCTATGGACCTGAAATGTTAATTGGCAAGTCAATCATAGTAAAATAGAAGTTTTTGCTATCATCAAAATTCTATTTCTGAGAATCAGATACGCAACAATCTCCCCCTTTTTGATGATGGCAAACACACAAGAAAATCTAAGCAATGAAGATAGTGAACTAGAAGCAGTGCAGAAATAATGAACTGGAAGCAATGCAAATGAAATATTCAAATTTCAGAACACACTACTTTGCCTTTTGACATCTCAAAAAGGAGGAGGAAAACATACACAAAGCAAAAGTCAAACAAACAAAGGATTTTTTTTATCAAGGCATGAATTATGACATAGTTTCCATGTGATTGATTTTAAATATTTGTAAGCCAATGAATTAAGATCGTTAGAATCAGAAAAATTAGTAACACCATCGATCCTGTTATCTCTACCTCAGACTTCTCCCAGGGTAAAACTTTCTTTTGAAAACAAAGATCTAAATCTGAAAAATCAATTGGATATGAAAAAGAAATCCATTCAAGACTTGGTTTCAGAAAAATATTTTATAACACAATATATCAAAGTAATTAGTTACGATCAAGAATCCCAAAATCAAGCCTTTGAAAAATTATCAAGTAACACATGAATTCTTTTAAGATTTAAAAATTTTGAAAGGGAAGGAGCTTTCTTTTGACGGGCTCATTTTATACCTCTTGTCAATTTAATTGGTGCTCTTTGTGCATCTTTTGATTTTGGCATCATTGGCCACTTTTTTTTATTTAATTTTGCAAGCTAGGTACCTTTTCCAAAATTCCTAAAAACTCTCAATTATGATTATATCTTCTAGATATTAGAGAAGAGAAAACTCACTCTTTAATATAAGGAAGAATGAATCACAAAATAGAATAAAAAATCATATGATAAATGCAATGACAAGATTTCAAAACATTTGAATGTAAAATAAAGACTTTGAATATTATATATATATATATATATAAGATAGATTACTGTAATAAGATTGAAAAGATTTTAATTGCATAGTCTAGTTGTTGATTTGAGATAGACTTTTGTTTGGAAAAGAAAATTACACCACTAAAGGAAGTTAGAGAAAAAAAAACAATTCAACGGTGTTTCCCTTTTTAACTATTTAAGAGATGTAAAAGA